AGGAACCGCCGCTTTAAATATGATCTCCTAAGTCGATCAGCGAGCAGATCGAAGGGGACCAGTCTCGCTAATAGCAAGGCCGCTTCATAAAAGATGGTCCAATATCCTCTTATGACGCTCAATGCCAGCTGCCTCTGCAGTCTTGCAGCACGCCGAGTGATCCTATCAGTCGTGATCGCTTGTGCCCATATAGCGGCCCCATATAAAACGACCGACAACCACAGTTGCGTACAACCTACGCCTGCTTTCCCGGGCCACCAATATTGGCTGTTAGCTTGCCCTAGGACGCCGCCATGCCCAGGACTTTAGGGAAAAGAAGCTGGAAGTGTTCCCTGAAGATCCATCTAGAGTTCAGAATCAACCCCAGGTATATCATCAAGATTTTAACATCAATCTCGGCGTTGCCTATTTGTAGGCTCGCACGTGGCACCTCCCACGCAAAGGCCACAGCCTCCGTCTTGTTTATGGACACTCTCAGGCCCAAACGTTCAATCGCCCTGACTACGACAGTTGCCCCCAATTCAGCTCTGACCATCGCCTCGCGGAAAGATGGACCCCTCACTACCAAAAGGGTGTCGTCCGCGTAGCAGATAGTCGAGCACCCTACCGGCAAACCGATACGTAAGATAGAATTGTATCCAATGTTCCACAGGGCTGGTCCTAAGACCGAACCCTGTGGAACACCGCACTTCATGGAGGATTTCATCTATCGTCTCTGTCAATGTACGACAGCCATCTATCGCAAAGGTATCCATCAAGGACATGCCGGAAGTACCCCGGAATTCCCTTCTCCACGAGAAGCCTCCCTGATGATCGGCCACGGGAGGGAGTTAAAAGCATTGGCTATGTCAAATGACACAACCAACACCACGCCCCCATCCCGCACCGCATCATTCACGAACGAGCGATGCTCTCAAATTGCTTCAATAGTCGACCTATTTGGCCGAAAACCGAACTGGGTCTCCGCGATACCCCCGGACGCGTCCAAGGACCGCACGAGACGGCTACGAGATAATTCTCTCGAACAGTTTGTCTGCCTCGCTCAACAGGCAGATCGACCTGTACGACAGAGAGCGTGGTCAGGCTTCCCGGGCTTCTTCAAGAGCACCAAGCACGCCATTTTCCATGGCGCCGGAAATATACCCTCCCTGAGGCCGTAAAGCAAGACA